AAGACATTCCTCCCATCACATAACAGTCAAAACATCTAATGCACAAAACAAAGAAAGAATATTAAAAACAGTAAGGGAAAAATGTCAACATAAAGAGATAGACCTATCAGATTTACAGCAAACTTCTCACTAGAGACTATAAAAGCTAGAAGATCCTGGGTCGATGTCATACCATCCCCAAGATAGCACAAATGCCTACCCAGGCTACTATACCCAGCAAAATTTTCAATTATAATAGATGGAGAAACCAAGATATTCCATGACAAATCCAAATTTATACGATATCTTTTCAAAGAGGCAGTCCTACATATGATAATAGATGGAAAATTTCAACACAAGGAGGGAAGGGAAAAATGTGCTCATAAGAGTTAAAGAAAGAAAACTGGTCAGCAAATCCCAGAGATCCTCCTGTCTCTGCTTCCCCAGGATTGACATTTGAACTCAAATCCTCATACTGTATGGCAACCATTTAACCAACTATGCCATCTCCCTAGACAATGCTTTTAAAAATTACATATATGTATTCAATTATTTTGTGTGAAGGCATGTGTATGTACATGTGTTTGGACACAGGCATTCCACACTGTGCATGTGGAGGTCAGAGTACAACTCACAGGAGTCTGTTTTCTCTGTTTACTATATGGGTTCTGGGGATTGAGTATCAGACATGGCAGCAAGCACTTTTACCTACTGAGCCATATGAATAGTATCTTGCCATGAACTGTCTTATTTTGTTACTAGTATTATTTCAGTACTATTCAAGAAATATCTGCAGATTAGCAAATGAAGCAGAAGCCAGAAACTTAAAACCTTGCATTGGAAAGTCTAGGTGCATTACAGTCTGTTTGGATAATGACTACAGAAAACAGACAACTGAAAATACTTTTCCTAATCATTTGGAGTCTCATCCTTAGACTTGGTAAGATGTATAACTTTGCTGTCTGGATTTTATGCTTCCCGTGTACTTGCAAATCAAATTGGACCTTTGGATTTCAGCAGGCATTTTACCATTTCCATACTCTCATTAAAAGAGTCATGAAAAAAATTCCAATTTCTTTTTTTATTACTTCTCATAAATTATATCAGTTTCCCCACCCTCCATTCATCCTAGTTCCGCCCCAACCTCACCCCACACCCTATATCTCTCCTTCAGAAATGAGCAGGTCTTCCAGAGATATGGATTGAATACAGAGGTTTCACAAGTTTCAATAAGGTTAGGCAGGATCATTTATATCAAGGCTGTATTAGGCGATACAATTGGAGGAAATGTGCCCCAAGAACAAATAAAAGAATCAGAGATATGCCCCAGTCCCACTGTTAGGAGTCCCACAAGGATGCCAAGCTATACAATCATAACAAATATGCAGAAGAACTACCTCAGATCTATATAGGCTCTGTGGTTGTGATTTTAGGTTTTGTGCCCCATTGGAGCACTGTGTAGTTGATTCTGTGGTCTCTGTTATAAAATTATCCTTGATCCCTCTGGCTCTGACAGTTCTTTGTCCCCCTTCTACTGTTTCCTAGAGCTCTGCCTAATAATTCAAATTCCTTAAATATTATTTGTGCTAAACATTTTAACAAACAGGGTTCTCAGTTTCTCAGCACAATTGTCTGATATAGAGCAATTTTTTCCCTGTTGATATACAAGAAGTTTCACTAAAGTGATGTACATTATTAATAACTAAAGCAATAATTTGATGAAATCTAATACATGCATACACACACACACACACACATTATATATATATATATATATATATATATATATATATATATATATATATATATATATACATACATACATACATACGAACTAAAGGAAAATAAATGTCATGACTGCTCCTAGGTGTGGTGGAGGAGATAGGTGACTATAGTTATAAGGTAGAGTATAGGTAAAAAGATGGAAAGGGATGTCAAGGAGACTCCAGACTCAACATGACCAGACTGAACTAGGCCATGTACAGAAACAGGTCTGTGGAAGGGAGAAGAGGGGAACCAGGTATAGCATTTGATAGACCAAATGTAGAAAAAGGATGGGTAATCAAAATATCTGGATTACACAGGGAAGAGTTCTTGGGAAAAGGACAGCCCAGCCCCTGATCTGGAGATTTCAGTATAGAGGGTGGAGAATCCCAGCAATACAGAGAAACTTTAGTAGGGACTAAAGAATGCTGGGAGAACCTTGCAGCCAGGTTGGCTTTGATATGTTAAATAAGCACCTTTGGCATTTTTCCAGGTTTCAAACATATTGCTAATAAAAACCTCAATAAAAAATGAAATCAATAGGTAAAAACATCCTAAAATTTATATGAAACCAAAACAGGACACAAAGCTACTCAATCATGATCTAAATGAAAGAAAAAACAAGTAAAACAGTCTATTGCTAATCCCGTCGACCAAGAATAGCACCACTACTGCATTTTTTACACCAAAATTGAAATAAGTGTTATAAAATACTGGTTATGAACATAGGCACTGCATAGGTCCATATTCAGTCAGAGAATACCCAGGGATTATGTTAGTTAACTGCTTATAAAATCAAAACCACAAGGCCACATACTTTCCACCTTTAACCAATTGGGGATAAGTATATATCCTAATGTGCTTCCTGCCTACATACTGCCTGCCTAGGTGTGTTCAAGTATATCCTGTGCAGTTAGGAAACCCAACATTGTTTATTGAAATAAAAACAGTTGGCTACTTATCTTACATGAAAAGTCCCAGTATCCCAGGAAGTTATCTGTTCTTGGGCAAACAGGACTTACATTTTTATGTAGATCTCTTAAAGTAGTTTAAATTTAAGATAAAAGAAATTAGCCCTTGAATCATCTTGAATTCAAAATTTTTTACAAAGAAATTCAGACACCCTAAGTTCAGCAATATCAATAAATATCACAACAATATATACACAATTTTTTTAAAAATTTGCTTTCCAAGAATATATGGTAGAAAATCTGTTGAGAAACTGGATATGCATATACAGTATAGTGAAATAATACACTTATTTCTTACTATATGTGAAAATAAACTCAACAGAATAAACTTTAAATGTAAACTTGAACTTGTAAAGTTTCTTGAAGAAAACAAGAGAAAAATGTAATTTTATGAACATGGACAAAAATAGAACAACAAATGATATACAAATAGTATAACCAAAATTTAAAAAGTTTCTGCATAGTGTCATATATAATTTTCAGAATGAAGAAGAAATGTATAGATTGAAAACAAATATAAACTACATATCTGATAAGATTTGAGTATCTAAACATGTAAGAAGTTCAGCTAATGAAGAAGAAATATCCTGACTTTTAAATAAAAATGACCCAGATAAACATAAATTCAGTAAGTAGATGAATAGTAGTGAAACTAATTATTACTGAGACAGTATAACCAAAATTTCAGCTAAATACCACTTTGTATATGATTGAATGGCTATTATAAAATTGATAAAAGATGAGAAGTTTTGTTGTTGCAGATGTGGATGATGTAAGAGTATTTAAGGAAGCTGCTGAACAACAGAAGTCAGAAAAAGATGGTTGTCTGACCTTAGGTGAAGGCATGTTTTTAAACCAAGGGACATCATGTCACTCACATGAGTGGATGGCCAAAATTTTTGTAGCAGGAAACTCTGAGGAACTAAGGAATGTTTATATGCATTTACACAATGAGGATTTATATTAGTATAGTCATTATTAAAAGCAGTATGGGATCATTATTAAATGTTGAACTACATCTACCACATATTCAGCAAGTCTAGTTTTCATAATACTTTTACAGACAATGAAATTAGTATGTGGAAGACTTTTTGAAGTCTCGTGTTACCTCATTCACAGTTCCCATATAGAATCTATCTAACTGTCCTTAAACTTGAATAGCTAATTAGCATAGGTATTAATCCCATCCACTAGGTTTTTATTTTGTTATGATTATTTGCCTCTATTATTTAAATTTTTCATTATGTAACACCATATGTACAGTTGTAATTTTTACTGTTTCATTTGTTTCAAAAGAAATCAATAATGGCTTGTAATAATATGACTTTAAAATATTTATCTAATAAACACAATATTTAATATGAGAGGTTGTCACCTATTGAATGTGTTTTTATTCTATTTATGAACTTTCTCGGGTTATTACTAATCATAATTTGTCTTGGGCTTATGATTATTTAGTGGATGATATATTGTGTCCTTATTAATATTTTATATCAGGGAATTCAAATACCATTAATTTGACAAAAATTAGCCATAGTAGACATTTGAAGAAGCAGTATCCAGTGAGAGATTCATATATTTGCATACTTGGCCCTCACCTTGATTGTGCTGTTTTCGAATGTTATAGAATATTTGAATGTGGATACCTGCTTTAGATGGGATTTGAGAATTTACAAATTTTCCATTCATCCACTGCATTTTCTGTAAATTATGTTTGGAATTGAGGATATGATCTCTCAGATTCTTGCTCCAAGTGCCTGAGAGCATGTTTTACCTATTGTCTCCTTATGAACCAGAAACCAAAATAAACTCCTTATTCTTTAAGTTGATTTTGGCCATGGTATTTTATCACAGTAACAGAATTTTAACTAATACAGTTATATACACTCTTCAGGTCTAACATGTTTTATGTTTTATAGTAAACATTTATAGAATGTGGTTTTTAGTAGCAGGTTAACTATCAGAGCTCTTTGAATGCTGTTTGTTTAGTTCATCCACCTTGTGTTCCTATGGTGCTAAGTGAGATACCAAATACTTATTGATGACTGGGAAGCCTGGTCCCTCTAAATAGAAGAGAAACTCAAGCACACAGAAATGAAGAGAAGTTCAACTATGTAACCTAGCAAATGGCTTCAACTAATATATTAGGATATGCTCTAGATAATGTCAACAATATTAAGAGTCCTAGGCAATTTGAACAATAAATATAAGTGATGAACATCTTTCCTCATTCTTTTCTCTATTATGCAGCTCAACAGAAATTTATCACTTAGAACTATGGAGAAACGGTAAAGAACATATTAAGGACAGCCATAAACTTAAAGGCTCAATGAGAATCAGCAAAAGGTATGCAGCCTGTCTGAAAATACTTATCTTTTTTTTTTCAGAATACTTCAATACTTCTTTAATGATGGATGTTGCCTGTAGAAGGCAGGTATGGGAATGGCCATCAAGTATATAACATGGCTATTTGGCTCCAGACACGTTAATCTCAAGATCATATTTATAAATATAATTACTGACATTGTGGGCTGACAAAAATAAATCTCCTTGGAATTTGAGCAAAACTGTTGTGTTAAAATTTGATTTAAAACATGTTCTTTCTTAACTTCTGTAACTGCCTGAGCTGCCTCATGTTCGGGGGTCACTTTGTAACAGCCCGTTCTGCTGCTCCAGTCCACGGGTCAGGGCCTAGCAAGATACAGAGTGGGGATGGAAACACGAAGAATGGAGAGAAGACAGGGAATCTGATCAAGTCTCTTCAAGTCTCATTTATTGGAAGGAAATCCTGGGAATTTATACCCTTTACCACGTGCCTTGCCCTCATGGACAAGCACAGCTGAAGGCACTACGTCATGTGCCTTGCAGCATGGATATCATGTGTACCTAGCTAGCAGTGTGGAGACCACCGTGCGCCTAGCTAGCAGTGTGGAGACCATGCGCGGCTAGCTGTTGAAGGCACTAAATAGCAAAACAAGATATGTGAGAAAAACAAGATGTTTATCAGAGTGTGCTCAGCTGTTGTGGGCTGTTGAAAACAAGTCTCTTGTCAGGGTATACGGCTCGAGATGGCTGCAAAGATGATAGCTGCTTTCGGCTAGAAGTCTGCTCACAACAAACTTCCATAAGATCTCTTTTGTTTTTTGGTCAAATCCGGGAAAATAGTTGCTCACATTTCTCACTAGAACCATCTTCCTTTTTCTTATAAAGAACACAATGATAAACCATAGAGGTAACTCTCACTCTGTGTAACATTTTCCTCATGTTAATCTTATTACTGCATTACGTATTCAGAAGTGCACGTGCTACTGTTTATACTTTGCTAATTCAGATACTGTAGCTATTACTGATATGATAAATTCTGCAAAGCTGCAAATTTATTTTTTCTCTAATTTTAGGATATTTCATTCTTCCTGAAGATATTTTATATGGTAACTTTGCATGGAGACTGATGCAGATGTTCTTTCTCACTGTTATGATGAACAAAATCTTGGCTCTTCTGAGATGTAGGATGCCTGAACAATTCTGAGGCCTCAGAAGGATGACTAGAGAACATCTTTATAATAGAGAGTTGAGTCATGGTAAGAGGGATCAGTGTCTTCCCTTGTGCACTGTTCCCAAACCCAATCATTCTAGTCACACATCCATATTTTATTCTGTATGTACATTGCCTGAAAGCTGTGAATACTTTGTGTAGAATGTCATGTAGCATAGTCTTCTGTATCCTCTAAAAATTGGCAGCTTGTCAAACCCATGAAACTTCAATATCATGATCAATATTTAGATAATTTTCTTTTATTGTTATGTAAAAGCTTTTTGTAATTTTACCCACAGCAATTAATGAATCACTATGACTTACATTTTAAGACAACTTGATTTGGTCATTTATAAATACAGATATTGCTGTGTATTGTTGTCAATGGAATCTTTGCTATTCTTTCAATGATTCCAATTAATTTACCTGACACAACTTGAAAGAAAATACTTGATATGATGAATTACATATAAAAGTTTACTAACTGTTGAAGAACATTGTAGAAGATGAGTTAATATTGGAAACACATATGAGCCTTTTCATTCTGCAGGTAGCAAACTAAAACACATGTTTCTATTTGGCTCATCTTTTCATATGTTTATTCTGTTGCCGTAAGTCAACAAGAACAACATACTGGGATTTATATGAAAGGTTTTTTTCTTAACACAAGATATGAAATTAGGTCAAATACCAGGAATATTTTTTGATATATTTTCATGGACAGATGATAATTCTTAAGTTGATAAAAATTTTACCTTTAAGTAATTGAAATTATATTATTCTTATAAGTATTATATAATAATCATGAAGATACTGTCTGTGCTAGCCATCAAAGAAGTTAGGTCACTGATGTATGAGAATGATCCCCATGCCTGATTGTTCTTGTTTAGTAGGTTCCAAATCAATGTGTTCTAGAGTGATTGGTTGATAGCCCTTTTCAGAAGGTCCTTTAAAAAAAAAAAACTATGATCAAAACTAAACCAAAATAAAAGAAATGCACATGTGTGTGTGTGTGTGCACATGTGCACACACACACACACAAGCACACGCATACACACACACACAAACACACTCATACATACAAAATAAGTCAGCCATGTCTATAATTTATAATGTTGAAAATTCTTGACAAATGAATTGTGAAATCAATTCTGTAAAATAGGACATTAAGTAAGATACAGATGGAGAGTCTAGACACTCTCTGTGCATTTTCTAGATTCACAGACAAATTTAGCAGATATTTTAGTTTAAATCAACACAAGTCAACTATAATATGTTGTACATCTGGTAGTTGTGGGGGCTATACGGGCAATAACGTACATATTTAAGTAAAGAGTCTGGGGATATATATGAGTTGATAGCCCTTGTACTTAAGTATTTGGTTGTATCCAGATGGCATAAAACCTTAATCAAGCTTTAGATGGATGTGGTTAGCTATGGAGAATTGTTGCTTTGTTGTCATAATAAGAATTCACACTTTGGGAAGTTCTAATGACTTAATTTTTCAATATAAAAGAAATGGATCTACATTCACTCATTATTTTATGAGTTACTGAATGATCTTTTTATTAGTTTTAATCACTTATTTTTAAGGTTACTTTTTGTGATATCAAGTACATACACATTTCTCATTACATAATTTCAAGTAATTTTAATCAATATTTAGATGTGTGAGAAAGTCATTGAGTTACTTGCTGAATTACTTATCCTACTAAATAGTGGAAGATAAAAGCTTTTAGGAAAGTTAGAAATAATTTTTAGTGAGACTCAGGTGATCCGCTGATCTTTCAGAGGGCTTAAGTATTGAAGAACTTAAAAATGTGCACAAAAATAAGCAATAGAGATGAAACATATTTATGTCTTCAGTTGTGGGAGTAAGAAGCACCTTTCAAACAAAATCAAAATGAAAGAAATAGAGTTAAGTTTACAGATTTCATCTACATTTTTCTGTGCCATGAGAAATGGTGTGTCATTTTGATTTTCTATTCAGAAAATGATCTACTACAGAAATCTCTTGAAGTAATGCCTACTAGCAGGATATACCTGAAAGACTACTCAGACCATAATCTCATCACTATATATTATCCAAAAGCTGTACTATGAAGGTATGCACAATAGTAACTTTCCTATTGCTGGGATAAAATGTTACCAAAAAAATTTATTAATAGATGAAATTACTTATTTGGGTCTATCCTTCCAGAGGGTTACACTTCATTGTGGCAGAGTAAAAGTGTGGCAGCAGGAAGATATGAGGTCTCACATCTTAATACACAAGTAAGAGACAGAGAGAACAATGGAAAGAGCTTTTGAAACTCCATAGGCTACTGAGAGTGTTACATGTTCTCCAACAAGGTCATTTCTAGTACTTTCCCAATAGTTTACTATCTTGGAAACAAGTATTGACACAGACGATACTATGGGGTCCATTCTTATTAAAACACAAAATACAACCCCTGCCCCTTGTATAGGTTCATGCTCATATCATGATGCAAAACACATTCAGTTCAAGATTTCCCATAATATTTTATTCTTGACACCATTTTAAAGGCACAAGTCTCTTCTGAGTCTCAAGGCAATCATTTATTTACAACCCTCTATAAGATTAAAAAAAGCATATTATGTACTTTGAACTCAGACTGTCATAGACTATACATTGTGATCAGAAAAGGGATAGATCAGAGCAAAATGAAGAAATAATGGAACACAGCAAAATCCAAACCCAGCAGGGCAGATTCAAAATCCTATAACATCATGTCTGATGTTAGAGGTCTTAGATGTTCCTAAATTTCCAGATTTTTCTGTCTTCAACATGAGTTTCTCAGGATGGTTACACTACATGTATTCAGTTCTATTTGACAGATATCCCAAAGTTTTGGAATGTATATAACCTTGGGGTCCCCAACACAATTCAGGGGTCATTTTTGCAGCTTTCTGTAATTGTTTCTCAAGGCTTCTTTTCCTCTTATGTCCTTCATGTAGAACTTTCCCTACCACATATTACCTGGCCTCACTAGCTCTTCTTAACCACATAGGAAAATTCTACAATCTCTTTACTTGTTTATCCTTTTTAGCTCTAAAATGTTTCCAAATAGGTGACATTTCCAAGTTTAAATGCCCACTTATGAAGAAGCATGGCCATCTTGTATTTGCATCTACCTCATTTGTTGTTTATTCTTTAGTATCAGCAAATTGCTAGGCCTTTCTCTTTCACAAGTTAGAAATTTAGTTGCTTGATGTCATGTCCTTTATTTTCATTCCATTTTGAATCAAGTTTCTCCTTGATTTTTTTCATCAGTTTCGGCACAAATCTTGACTCTAATGTTAAATTTCCCAGCACTTCTATTCTCTTTCAAATTTATAGGTTCTAAGGTAATTTTTTTTGCCAAATTTGCTCTTTTCCATTTTATAGTTCCATAAAAGTGATCAATAAGAGCCACATGAGAGTATCAATATTGCTCTGCATTAAAAAATCTTCCAGGAAAGTAGTCCATTATGTTTCGTTTCTTAGGACAAGTGCAGATGGCAGCCATATTCTTTGTCAAAAATATCACAAGATTATCTGTATCACAGATGCTAATAATGTTTCCCTACAAAATTTCTTGTGGCAGGCCTGTATAGTATACACATTTCTTAGTACTGCTATCTTATAATCTACACCTAGCATAGCATATTAAATTCTTCTTATAGCATTCTGCCACTGTAAAAAATATTAGTTTGTTCTTCATAGCAATACAACACTAATTATGTACAGTATAGTATTTTCCCACCCTCTTCCTATTTAGGAAATGTGTTTCTAAACTCTACCTTTTTCCCTCTGTGTCCTGACAGATGATACCTACAGTGATGAGTTGGAATCATAATAGATGGTGCCATTTCTTCTACCAGGAGCTTCACCAGACCAATCTTCATTATACATGCTGATATCTCTTTCCTGTGTAGTAGCAGACACCACCAGCAGATAAGAAATGCTTACGTGAGAAATGCTCATTTTGGGATATCATCGATGAAACTATAATTTGGGCAGGGTGACTGTTTCCTTTGCTGCCACTTGACTCAATCCCAGGAGCGTAATAGATGAAATAATACTGTACAAGAACCTCAAAATGGTGGAAGTAAATAGTGCTCCTATGAATATAGATATTAATGATTTTAAATATGACCTATTAAAAAGAAAATGCATGATTAAGTAAATCTGAATGCATACTTATATGGTTAATACATAAATTATTTGCACCCTCCTTTTTGAAGTCTATCCACATGGTTTCTGTCTGTTAAGCGAAGGGTATACATCCTTTTAAGCAATAAATATACAAGCACTTACACTACTGTCTGTTGGGGGGGCTTATAAGGCCATTTGTTATGCAATTTGCTACTTTTATTTGAGTCTTTTTGATGAGCTTTTGCTATTTCACTACCATATTCATATCTATGTCATTTGTTGAGTGACTATAGGACTGTTTTCTAAATGAAATAGAATTAAATATTTTAAACATTGCTTATACATAGGTGCCAATTTTCTGTATGATGGATATATATATATATATATATATATATATATATATATATATATATCTGCATTCATCTACTCTATCAAAGTAAATTTACCTAGTACTTAAATTATTGAAATTAAGTATATTAGCACTTCAAGTTTTTAAAGTTATCATGACTCCTTTTAGGATATGCTTGAAGAGCTTTCCCTTTAGAGCCATATTCTTCAAAATGCCATTATGATGGATTTCACAAATGATTGAGATCCTTCCAAGTGTGTTAGCACAAACTGTTGTTCTGAAGTGTATTTATTTTACTTTTGAGTTTGATCATTTTCATGTTTATTAGCCATCTGTATTATTTTGATTTCTTATTTGTGTCAAAACTTCAGAGTATATTGAAGATTTAGTCTCGTTAAAGATCTTTTACTATTGGAAAAAGATAAGATTTTGAATTGTCAAACATTATATGTTTGTCACACTTTTAAACTTTGTTTTGTTATCAGAATATGTACTATTGTTACATGTCCAAGTATAACCATGTTTGCTTTTATGGCTTCTGAGTTTCATGTCATTTTTTTAAAAAGGTTCTGAGCCCATAAAGCCTTTCACCTATGTTAATCCTAACTATTTTGTGTTTTTTAAAAGTCAAATTCTATGTCACAAAAAGAATTTTATTTTGAAACTTTACAGTTACCAAGTTATTTGCCATTACTTATAATTATTTGCCAATAATTGCCCATCTATCTGTAATATCATCCTGCACATGTGCTGTATTTTCATCCATGAGTGGCTCCATTTTTGTTGTGTGGATATGTGTGTCTCTTGTGCCTTCTGTCTCATGTGTCTTCTTGTTGGATGAAATTACAGTTTACACTGTAATTTCATCAACCTTAATAAATCAATCTGGGAAAAACTTGTTTTAAATGATATTGTCTTCATGGATATGGACAAGGTATGTCTCTTTTATTATATATTTAATTATTGTTGATATTTCCACTGTGATGTTGGGCTTTTCTCTCTTTTTTGGTTCTTTATTTTTAGATTTGCAAGTTTCTTAGATTTTATTTTAGGACCATGGTTTATGTGGCCGTGTTTCTCCTTTTCATTGTTCATGGAATTTTATACCAATTTTGCAAATACTGATTTTTCTCCTGATCAAATTTATAATGATTTTGGTTATGTTGATAAAAGTTCACAAACTGGTACTCTCAGAGCACTTAAGCAACTGTGGAAACATTAGCCACCCTTGATTTAAATGTGATTCACCACAATGCTTTGTGGATATTAGTAGCACATTGCTACTTGTCTATGTTTCCAAAAAGACCACCTTAAAGAGCTATGATCAAGCAAAGTTGAGATTATTAAACTTACTGCAGCAAGGGAAAACACCACCATAACAGGGTTTGGTAGTGGTTGAAAGACAAAATACTGGCCTTTCTACCTGGGTTACTGTGGTTTGAGGCACAAACAGAACAATGAATGGGCACAACTTAGCATGCAATACTTTAAGATGGATTGGTGTAGGATGCACTTGTAATATGCTTCTTGATAATTAAAGTGCTATCTAAGTGAATTGTTGGACTCAATAAAATATTTGTGACATAAGAGATATTTACCTATATGTGCAAATAGAATTTATCACTTAATAGTTTTGTCTTGCTGAGCAGGACTCTACTATGGGTGTTATCAGGTCTTATTCCCAAAAGGTAAGTTATTTTTTCATATGACTGGTTGTAGGTGTAAATATAATATTATAACTTTAACTTAGAGACATTTGATGTATTATATTAGGAAAGTCTTACTTCCATTTTTCATATGTTTTAAGGAATTTGAATTAAAGCCAGCTGGAAAGTGTAATTGCTACTTTTTTGCCAAATACTTGTAAGATATTTTAAATAATTTTTATGGGTATAGGATATGTCATTTTCAATCATTAGTAACACCTTTATTCCATGCTTGGACATACTCTTCTTTGTTTAATTCTTTTTATTAACTGTAAATCTATAAGCATTTAAATTTGATTTGGATTTTTTTGAGATTATACGATTAAATGAAATCTCTATTCCATTGACTTTCTTATCTATATTGCCCATACTTTGGTGTTAAAATTTCTGATTATGTTTAAGTAATTTAGAGAGTTTTCATTCTGTGCAGTGATCAATGAGTTGTGACCATGGTCAGCTGAGCACAAATGTGAACTCTTTGGTGGGTAATGGAATCTCTGTGCTTAGTCACATTACTAGTTATTGTTTGTTTCATATCCAATGTACTATGTTTATCCTTTTTCTCACAGAGGATTACAATGCACACAGATTTTTCTATCACTCTACTTATACCCTGTATTTTCAAATGAGTAAGTTACAAATGTGACTTTTTAGAATACCCAATTTTCTTCTCTCTTCCACAATGAAGATTTCAGATTTTTTTCCAGTTTTTAAAAATATTCCATATATATCTATATATTTTCCCTATGCACTATTGTCTTTCTTTCTAATACATGCTTAAACATTTTAATCCATTAATTTTCATTTGTTCTTGATAATATATGATATGTTCTTATAAATACTTTTTGAAATAATAAACTTGACACATGAGAGATAATGACAGTGAGGTTCGGTATACCAGGCCAAGAGCCCATGCTGTACCATTATTAAACTACTGTGTGTTATCTTAAAAACTATTTTAAATGAGTGGTTGGTTAAGTGATTTAGGTGTGTATTACTTGAGTTTAAATCACAGAATCCATGATAAAAAAAGTTGAAGCTGGTGTTGATTATTATACATGTTTATACTCTCATTGCTAGTAATCAGAGTCAGCGTGATTGCTCTGGTTCACTGTCAGCCAGCCAAGATTAATCAGGGACTGCCAGAAAAATGAGAGACCCTGTCTTAACAGTAAACAAACAACAATAATTTATAAGCATTCTAAAGCAGATTATACTTAGGAATGATACCTACAGTTGTTATTCTGGCTTCATCTCAGCCCCATTCCCTTCCATAAAATACCACCAAACACTCATATGCTTAGGAACCCAAACTTGTACACACAAAATATTTTTTTTAAGTAATTAAGGTTTATCTTAACAGTTTCTCGTACAGACATTTGAAAATATCTTCATTAAACATTCATTCCTTCATTAAAGCTGGAGAGGGCACACGTACTTGCCATAGTGCACAAGAAGACATCAGAGGACAAACTTTATTTAATTCTTCTAGTGCATAAGTTCTAGGATTGATCGCAAGACATAAAGCTTGGTCTCAGGCACGTTTACCTGCTGAGGCATCTTGATGGCTATTTTGAAATATATTTTAATTGAGTGTGTATATTACAAAATCCATAGTTTACAAAATGAATTCAAATAAATATAACTATTAATTCTATTATCTCTTGCCATGCAATTCTTTTTTCTCCATAGGCAACTAGTGGGCTAGCAGTACTACATCATTCTCTTTGTCTCTGTCTCTCCCATTCTCTCATACACTCTCAAATCTCCAAAGTATATATGTGTAAATATACACAGATAATTTTCTTGTTATGTAACTTTCTTTTATACACTAAGACACTATTATAAAAATTTTAGTGTTTCAAGTAAATTATAATGTTATCATAGTAGGAGCTTATTATCTTATTTAATATTTTATGTCTTTATTTAGGTTAAAACTACATATTTAGGTGTACATATCTTTTTATAAGTTCATTGAGAATTTAGTGTAATTTATTTTGATCATGTTTATATTCTTCTACAGAACCCTCCCCTTTTTTCTTTCCACCCAAATTTGTGTCCTTAAAAGAATAATTGAAGATAATAATTCTTTCTAATACCTTTTTGGATGTGTAGCCTCTCAGTGCATATCTATATCTATATCTATATCTATATCTATATCTATATCTATATCTATATCTATATCTATATCTATATCTATATCTATATCTATATCTATATCTATATCTATATCTATATCTATATCTATTACTTAACTTTTACTACTATTTTATGTGTGTTGATGTTTTTCCTGCATGTATGTCTGTATTATAAGCATGCCAAGTACCTAGAAGAAGTATTTCGATCCTCACGAACTGGAATTACAGACAGTTGTGAGCCATTATGTTGATATTGCCCTGTAGGATAGCAGCCAGTGTTCTTATCTTCAAGCCCTATATCTTCAAGGTTGTATTTTCTTTCTTTTTTACTTTTAATTTTTCTAAATTTAAGTTTTGTATTTTTAGTTTTCATCTATTTACTCACTTTACATCACAGTATCAGTTTTCATTCTCCTTCAAAACCCCCTCACACAGATTTTCCCCCATTTTGCTTTCATCTTCTCCTTTGAGAATGGGGAGCCTTCCCATATAATCACCCTCCCCCTATCTGACATATCAAGTCACAACAGAACTAGGTGCATCCTCTCATACTGAGACCAAATGATTCAGCCCAGTTAAGGGAACAAGAACCACACATAGGCAACAGATTCCCAGACAGTACTCCCTCCAGTGGTTCAGTGTCGCGCCCGCCTCGCCAGCAAGGATGACGCAACAACAGGATCCTTCCTCACGCACTTTATTGGGGAACACACCATTGATTGTAAAGTGAAAGACCCCAAGCCTGAAATGGGTGCTGCTTAAATAGTTATCACAGCTGTGTATAAGTGTCTAATTGGTGCTT